AAAAAATAAAATAATGAATTAAATAACTAATTTAATTTCCACAGAAAACTAAGTCTCACTGAGGTTAAAAGCCAAAGATTAAAAGTGGGTTTTAAGACGTGATTTAAAAGTGGATAGTGAAGGATACTCTAACGTGCCAGGGCAAAGTACTCCATAATTTTGGACCCACGATAGAAAAGGCCCTGTCCCCTCTGAGCTTCCTCCTGGATCTCTGTACCTCCAGGAGCAGCTGGTCAGGTGACCTGAGAGACCGACATGGTGTGTGGAGATAAAGCTCAGAGAGGTAAGGCAGGGCAAGATTGTGAAGGCATTTAAAAACAAACAGAATTTTAAAATTAGACACAGGCAGCCAGTGCAGTGAGGCTAGGACAGGGGTTATATGCTCTCTTTTACAAGTTCCTGTTAGGAGTCGTGCAGCAGCATTTTGAACCAGCTGCAGACGTGAGAGCAATGACTGACTGACCCCCACATAAAGTGAGTTACAGTAGTCCAGGCGGGAAGAAATAAAAGCATGGATCACTGTTTCAGGGTGCTGCCTCGAAAGAAAAGATTTTACTCTTGCCAGTCGCCTTAAATGATAAAAACTGGACTTCACCACTGCTCTGATTTGGTTGTCCAATTTAAAAATCACTATCCAACTTAAAACCAAGGTCAGTAACAACAGGTTTAAAATAAACTTCCAGGGGTCCCGAATCTACAGAGGAGGACTCGCAGGGACCACTGGGTCCAAACACCAACAACTCTGTCTTCTTTTCATTAAACTTTTAAAGGTTTAGAGCCAACCAAGCTCTAATGTCATCTAGGCATGTCATGAGAGGTTTTATGGAGATGCCATCTTTCTGCTTCAGTGGCAAATAAATTTTGCAGAGATCTGCATAACAATGAAATGTGATCCCATGCCTTCTAAGGATGGAGCCCAGAGGCAATAAATACAATAAAAAGAGCAGTGGCCCTAAAATTGAGCCCTGTGGGACACAGCGTGACAGAGGAGCAGAAGATGATTCTGACTCTGAGAAGGCTGACAGAGAAAGTTCTATCCGACAAATAAGACTAATACCAATTGAGTGCAGTGCCACCAAGACCCACTACATCACTAAATTAGAATATCATGGTCTATGGTGTCAAAAGCAGCAGTTAGATCAAGCACGACAAGAACAACATGGTTACCAGAATCACATGCCAGAAGGATGTCATTAAAAACCCTTAATAATGCTGTGAAGGGTTTTAAAACCTGACTGAAAAACCTCAAAGATGCCATTATCATCTAGAAAGTCTTTCAGTTGACTAAAAACTATTTTCTCTAAAACCCTGTAAAGTAAAGGCAGCTTGGAAATAGGCCTATAGCTGGTTAAAACTGTGCGATCAAGGCCTGGTTTCTTAAGCAGTGGCTGCACAACTGCATGTTTGAAATTTGCAGTAACCACACCAGAATACAGACTGCTGTTAATAATTAATAATTTAATGGTGTTGGGGATATTTTCTTGACACGCCACGTGTCCTTTAGTAAGAGATGAGCTTATCTGAGAGATAGCTGCAGATCATGGCACAAAGCTGAAACCTGACATCAACGACAAATCTGCAGCAACTGTGTGATACTGTCACGAAATGTTGAACCAAAAAACACCGAGGAATGTTTCCAGCACCTTGCTGAGTCTGTGCCACGAAGAATTAAAGCAGGTCTGAAGAAAGGAGTGGGTCAAACACGGCACTAACCACGTGACCGGTAGGCGTAAATGTGTATTTAATTAACAAAACAAGCAAAAAAAAAAAAAAGGAAAAAAAAGGGTACATTAATTAACTCGGATTTTTTTTTTATTCTTTTTTCCCAAGCAGCACCGTGGATACATCACCTCAGCCAGCATGGTGTTCCTCCCGAGGACAGGCCTTGGACTGAAGGTCTCCCTACACTGAGGACAGCTGTACGTTCCCTTTTCATTTTCCTGCTCCCAGAACCCCTCGATGCAGATTCTGCAGTAAGTGTGTCCACACTGGATGGTGACGGGATCTTTGAGTAGGTCCAGACATACCGAGCAGTAAAGCTGATACAGGTCCAACTCGACGGCACACTGCTGCTGCCATTTCTCTGCCATTTGGATGAAATCCACAGGTGCACAGCGAAGTTTTTAACTAATTGAAAGGAAACGTAGGGAAATGTGGGGTGGGGCTTCAACTTCTGCAAGTCTTAAACCAATTATTATGTGACAGTTTTGTTATAAAAGCTTGCTAACGCCACTTAAAAAAAAAATTAATACATTAAAATAATGACAAATGTAAAAATAAAAAGCAAACAATAACCACTGTTCCCTGCAAATGTTATGTATTTTATTTATTAATTTTTTTTATTAATTTTTTAAACCGTAATTAAACTTAAATAATTTACAAAGTTAATGTAAATGTTAAAAAAAAATACATACACGAATGCATGGGAACAGGATGGGGACAGCTGAGAAGCTGGTAATTAAGGTGTTTCTTCTCTTGTTGATATGATCGTTTTTTTTGTTTTTTGTTTTTGCCTGTCCCGTTTGCCCTTTTGCCATCAGAATTACTGTCTAAAGGCAAAGAAAGATGCCCAACGGATTTACTTTACCAAATCGACCAACCCAGCCTTGCCGTATTGGTCTATTTGATTCGTCTTTTATTGTTTATTTTAGTTTAACCTGCTAAATGCGGGACAGATATGATTGCTGATATGATTCTTGTGTTATTTCCTCATTTCCCAGTGAGGCAATATACTGCAGACATTAGCATTACATGAAGCAAATGATGATTGTTTTCTAGTGCTGTAAGTTATGATATGTGTGCACACATGGGTGTGGCTACCTAAGAAAAAGACCTAATAGCCTCTGGCCAAAATGATTTTATCTTGTACATTTGAATATACATAAATGTACACATAAAGAAATAAATACATCATTCTTTTAGTATTTAAAGATAAAAGATAGATGTCAGTAGTTTTTTTAAGTACAGTATTGTAATTATGAATATACATTGATTAGTATGTAATTTACATCTTCCAGCAAACTGATGTGTTCTCATAAACCTAGAATTATCAAAATCAAAGGAATTTTTATTTGTGGTTGCACCTTCAGACTCATACCTACACCTCCTACACATACCTACAGTATGAAGAAAAGACACAATGTGACTGGCATTGAGGTAAAATGAGTGTAAATATTTGCACAGTAGCCTTTCACTAATGGCCAGACTTTAAGAGATAGAATGATTTTTAAAGTGACCACAAAGCTACCTGGCACTTCAAGTAATACAAGGCAGAGATGTAATTTAACCAAACCGTCTGAATTTTTGATGTCTAAAGTTTTTTTGATCTCTATGTCACAGTCACACTGCCGTGTGTCCCTAATAAATAGGCCAGTGAGTGCTACTGCTAGTTTTAATATAAACTTTAGAGTAGAAAAGCCTTAATAAAAGAGATGAAAAATAACTTTAATGGTATAAAAGTTACTTTTTTGCTGAACTGGATGTCATCATGGCACAGAAAGTTTAACAGAATTACGTCTCGGGAAAAGAAATCCTGCGATCTGCTGACATCTAGTGGTGACTCACTGTAATTACGACTCTAATCATTGAGACTCCTTTTGCGTCTCTATGGATCTTAGCGGGACTCTTGTTTGAGCAACACGTTCTCATCACCAGCTGCTGTAGGCGCAAAATCCCTACTGTATATTTTGAGTTTAATATTTAGCTCATGTTTAATTAATATTTCATAGAGATTTGTTGTTGATAATTTCAGGAGTAATAATATGCACATTTCAGTTATGTTTACTGAGGGCCAAGACAATCATATTGCACTGTTTGTGATTAGGAGATAAAATAGGTGCTTACCACTTTAAGAACAGAGATACAGTTGCAGGGGGGTGGTTTGGTAAGTTGAGGGCCATGTCTGAAAACATCAACAAATTTTCATTCAAGTGGAAGATTTTTCTTTTTGGATATCAGAACATTCACCAGACACAGGCTCCTTTTTTGGGCTTGTTTTATTGGAAATGACACTGCAGCTGCTTGCTTCTGGAACACGCAGCATTAAATGCCTCACTGTGAGCTTCACATCAGAGAACATTTTCAGTTACACTTAAAGTGATGAGTTTCGTTGGAGGATGTGGAATAGGAGACTTTAAAAATACTCCATAATTGCGTCACTTTATCAGAACAGCTCCTTCATCAGAGTTACAGGTTATCTGCTCTGCAGCCTCTAAGCAGCAGTAACATACCGATTACTTTTAGCCCACACGCTAAAGTTAAAGTAAAACAGGATGCTTCTAATAATTTCTCCCAAAAGGTGATGAATAAAAATAAAAATTCACTAGTTAAGAAATGACAGGTTGTTGATCAACATTTAAATATATGTATTTTTAAACAACTATTTAGATTAATTTTCAGTTAAATTCACAACAAAGCACAAAGAGACAAGAAAGTTTAAGAGGAACAGTGAAGGGTACAAAGTTTGATCTTAAATAATGAAATGACTTCTAGGTAAAAAGGTCTGGTTGCTGAATCCTCCCACCATGACTGGTACATTCCAGCTTTGTGCCACACCTCTGTTATAGTTAAAACAACCCCAAAACACTTCAATAAAACACACACCTGTGCATACACAACTATAGCTCCTCTAGCATGCATCCTCTTTCCTCTGTCCTCCATATCAGTTTCACAACTTGTGATAAACTATAGCAAGACACGCTGAAGATAAATTTTCCCTCATAGGCAGCAGGACGAGGAGACAAGAAGGCACAAATTAGTGAAACAACAGTTGCCAAGTCATCTTCTTACAACTTGTAGTTAATGAGTCCTCCCAGGTTCAACTTTATATTGCTTGAGCTTCCCCCTCTATTTGTGCTTCTTTTCTTGTTAATAACTTCCCTTCTCTGAGTAATCTTTGTTACATCAACAGACCTACAAATGTCTGACCTCTAAATAAAATCAATAATAAACCATGATTCACTATGGCAACATGGAAATAAAGAACAGAGTTTTAATTTGAATCCACCTAAGTGAAGAAAATGAACATGTGTCAGTGCTGACCAACATGTTTACCTTAACAAAACAGGAAGGAAAGAAATAAAAAAAAAAATGACAAACTATATCATCATTATTAATGAAATAGAAGTTCAAAATATATCATTTATTTTTATACTTTTTGTGGTCATCATTTACCCAGCTTAAATGCATTTTTGAAGTTTTTAAATCTAATTATTCAGCTGTAATCTGACAAATTGTAGAAGATGAAAACTGAAGGTAAAAGTGTGGAGAAACAGGACAGACACAGTTTAATGCACCTGTGATATTAGTTGCCCAGACAAGAAAAGACTCCAGGGTTGATCCGCCCTCAAGTCAGATCTTTTATAACCGTTTGCTTGTTTTAACTATATTTTTTCATCAAAAATGTAATCTTAAAATTTCATTTTAAGAATATAATTATTTCTGTCATTACTAGATAAAAATCCTTGAGATGGTTTAAAGGAAAACTCTGCTATAATGTTTCCCAGCCTAACCAGATCATGTTTTCTTAATAGATAGAATTAATACAATCAATAGTTTTATATTTAACAAAAAAGAAGAAGAAATTAAATCTCTGTATTTGAAACACTATCCATATTAAAAACACAAAAGTAAAGCCAAAAATGTTAGTAACAATGTCTTAACTGCTTCTTTTTTTTAATTAAGAGCCAGCCTCAACTAGATCTATATTATAACTCATACCAAACATTACAGGGATGTAAGTGATTACACCATTGTTGCCAGTGTTACAATAATTTTAATAGAAATAGTCGAGTTGAATCGCTGAAAGCAGAAATTCTGTTGGTACAGGTTAATTCACTGTACGCAACAGCTTTCAGCTACCTTAACAGCTACATCCATCACTTGTACTACTCCATCTATTGCCTCCACAACTACTCCAGCAGCTCCTTCTACTACTTCCATTTCCACTCCTTCAATTGATGCTTCAGCCATGCCTTCTACCACCGCTGTTACTGAAAGAGCTTCTTCCACTGCAGACAACGCTACGTCCTCAGCCGCCTCCTCTGCTGCTGACAGCACCGCCCCAACTGTTTCTTCTTCGACTGCTGTTGTCAACGCAGCTGCTCCTTCTCCTTCTGCCAGTACTGCTGCCACTTCTGGTGTTTCTCCTGTCATTGATGTTGTCATCTCTTGTGTCATTTCTACTTTTCCTTCATCAGTTTCTTCTTCTTCTACTGGCACATCTGTTTCTATAGTTGGTAAAACTTCTGCAGTCCCAGTTTCTTCTTCAACTAGTTCTTCTGTTCCATCTTCTGCTTCTGCATCTTCGGCTTCTTCTTCCAGTGTCGCTGCTTCGTCTGTTATTGATGCGCTCACTTCCTCTTCATTTGTCTTCCTAAAAATTTTAAGTAGTTTTGAGAAAATATCAGCTCCCGTTTTTGCTCCAGCGACGCTCCTTTCCACTGCTGTTTCTTTTGTTGGAGATCCTTTATTCGGTGTAGATACTGACTGTGTTTGTGCTTTTCCTCCTGCCTTTACCGCAGTTACTCCTGTACTTGTTTCTTCCTTTGACACTGTTTCTATTCTCTTCTTCCTTGCTGCTTGTTTGATTGTACTGACTCCTTTTATAGCTAGAGGTACAAGTGCAACAAACTCCAATCCACCAAGCAAAGCTGCAATTAGCAGACCTTTACCTGCGATGAATGCAAATTTAGCCACACGCTGTTTATAGACTCCACTTTTAGCTCTATCCCTGGCTTCTTCTGAAGACATAGTCTCTGATGTTTGTTTAATACGCTCTGCCTCTTTCTGTATTTCTGTCTCTATTGCTTGTAGTAGGTCATTAGTGTAATATCCACCTTTGTTTTGCATCACTATATCATCAATGGTTTTGAGAAGCTGTTCCACTTGGAACTTGTTGCTCCTGTATTCATTCTTTGCCTCATTATTCCAGTATTTATTATCTATAACGTGGCATCGGCCTCCGCACTTCTGAACGAGATCAGCCAGGCATTTGCTCTGACTGACGAACTCTTCAATTTTCATTTCCTCCAGCAGTTGGTCACCGTGAGTGAAAAGAATTACAGCATATCGTAAAACCTCCTTGGAGAAATACTGGAACATGTTTTCGATGACAGACTTTTCATGATCTGTGAATTTCTCCACTTTAAGAACAACGAT